ACACAGAGAGAGAGAGAGAGAGAGAGAGAGAGAGAGAGATAGAGAGATAAGTTCAATTACTTACTATTGCTGCATTCGTCGCTTTGCTATTGGCATCACACTGCACAAGGTTCCGTGATGGTCTGTCGCCTTGCACTTGAAGCAGTAGGATTTGCAATCATCCTCATGACTGTCGGCGAGGCATCGGACGCACTTGCTAATTGCTTGCAAGCGAAGAATACGCTCGATAGTTGTTGAGTAGATCTGGCAACTATTGGTTCTGTGCCCATCCTTCGTCAGCTGATTACAGAATATGCACTGCACGGGAGGCAGTGTTTGTTGAATAATTAGGTCCAACTTTTGATCTTGAATGGTGGAGAATTGGCCTCCCATATTTTGAATGGTAGTTTCAATTCTATCCATTCTTTGAAGTAATGTCTGGAGTTTTGAATCTAGCTCAGTGAATCTTTCGGAGATGAAATCTCCCATTTGAATAAGACGAGTGAAGTATCTTGATTCTAGGGTAATCAAGTAAGGTAGCGTGATTGGAGTATTGGGTACATCATGAGCCAACGTGGTTTCATGTGACTCCATGAAAGTGGGTTCAAGGATTGGGTCATATTCCTCATTCATGTTGAATCGGGGTTGAATTTTTAGAAACTTTGTACAGTTATATACAGTTTTTTGTAGGCGGAGTCTTTCGACTCAGAGCGCCTGCTGGTCCATCTGCGGACCAGTTGGCTCTTTAAGGAGCTTCTTTAGTAACTTATAGAGCCATACTAATGCTTCTAGAGCCATTGAGAATACTATTTGTATTCCTTTTATGAATCCGTTAAGTATATGAGCGGCTGTTACATAGCTTGTGGCTATGATGAAGGCCAACAGAATTATACTGGGTATCAACCATGTCCAACGATTGGTTATTACTGCCCAAAGCGGATATAAGTCTATTCCCTTTTTTATTACATTGTCTGATTTCTCAAATCTACTTGATTTCTCATTACTTTGGTAGTGTAAGATTCCTTCTATCTTA